AGTGACTCGAACTGTGCCTGCCCCAAATCCAATATGTCCAGTGTTCAATTTGTATTTGGAAAACAGAGCCTCACATCTTGGTGTAGGGAAGGGGCAACACGGATGGGCTGCAAATATGGTGGGCAGCTGCATGCATTTCTTAGGGCTGCTGGAACAAAGCTCCACAAGCTGGATGGCTTCAAGCAACAGAAACGTGTTCTCTAATGACTTTGGAGGCCAAAAGTCTGAAATCCAGGCCATGCACGCTCCGAAGGCTGTAGGGAAGAACCTTTTCCTGCCTCTCCTCGGCTTCTGGCGGTTGCTGCAATCCCTAGTGTTCCTGGACTTGCAGCTGCATCACTCCAATCTCTGCCTCCATAGTCACATGGCACTCCCTCTGTGCCCCAATCTCCGTTTCTTTTAAGGACACCAGTCATTGGATTAGGGCCCACCCTAATGACCGCATCTTAAATAGATTACACCTGCAAAGGCTCTATTTCAAATAAGGTCACAGTCACAGACGCCAGGGGTTAGGACATCAACATATCTTTTAGAGGACACAATTCAGCCCACAACAGCAGCATAAAGAAAAGGGAATTCAAGGAAGGTCAATGTCAACATTGCCAGTTCCTCCCACCAGCTGTTCTTAATAGAATCCAGCTGAGCTTGGGGAGACAGAGGGAGGAAAAGAGATGATCCCAGTCCCCAGAGATGTTCAGGGCCAAAGCTATTCGGGCTGCTCAGATACAGACCAGGGAGCAGGAGGTGTGGGTTTGGCTGTCACTCTCTACCAAGCTCCCCAACACTCTGAACCTCTATTTGTGGTGCAGAGTGGTGAACGCTCCCTGCATCAGCCCCATGCTCTCTCTTTTCCTAGGCCTTTGCATGAACTATTTATCTGCCTGGAATTCCTCCTCCATCAATCCCACCCCACCATTTGACCACACCAATTTCTACGTCTCCCCAAGTCTCCCCTTAGCTGCCCCATCTCCCCCAGAGTCTCCCCTCCTTCTCCAGGCCTGGGTAGTATTCCACTCTGATTACTGGTCTGTGCCCCCACCCCATAGATATTAAGTCCACCAGGGCAGTGACCGTTGTCATCCCAACTCTTAGCTCATTAACCATTTTTTGGTCAAACGAATGAATTGTGAAACTGTAAGTTTCATTGCCAAGGGCCCTACCTCCCTACCCCTTCCCATGGAGAAATTCCTTCTTTTGAAAGAAAGTAAGACATAAGATAGGGCTATGCTAGGAAAGGCTGCTACCATGAGGCCTCCCGAGGGCACTGGCCTTGTATTTCTCATGGGTTGGTTCTACCCCAGAAATAGAAATTACACTCAAATAAATTCAACTGTGAAGAGTGGGGATAGGAGAGGGGAGGAAAGTCATGGGCCCTTAGGCTCAGGCCCCGAGTAGTGTCAGAAGAATGCAGCCCAAAATACAACAAAAGGAACTAAAATGAATCTGCTCTTCCGTGCATCTCTGCAAGGACATGACAGAGATTTTAATACCAGCTGTCCCATTTGGCTGATCTCTTTTGTCCCGGCCCCAGGTGTCTCAAGTCCCACACTTGACAGCCTCACATTTTCCACAGTCAAGAAGAAAAACAAGACTCTTCTCCATCCACAGCCTGGCTTATTTCTCTCTCCTCACCTTTCTTTTCAATTATGATGAAATATACAACTATAGATAACATAATACTGTCTTAACCATTTTTAAGTGTACAGCTCAGGAACATCAAGCACACCCCCACATTATGCAACCAAAACCACCGTTCATCTCCAGAACTTTTCATCATCCCAAGTAGAAACCCTGTTTCCATTAGCCAGTACCTCCCTGTTCCCTCTTCCCCAGCCCCTGGTAACCTCTGACCTACTTTCTGTCCCTATGAGTTTGACTACTCTGCATACTTCCTATAAAGGGAATCACACAATATTTGTCCTTTTGTAACTGGATTATTTCACTGAGCATCATGTTTTCAAGATTCATCCATGTTGTAGCATGTGTCCAAATTTCTTTCCTTTTTTTTCCTCTCCCCACCCCCCCAGAGAGAGTATTGCTCTCTTGCCCAGGCTGGAGTGCAGTGGCGCAATCTCAGTTCCCTGCAACCTCCGCCTCCCAGGTTCAAGTGATTCTCCAGCCTCAGCCTCCCGAGTAGCTGGGATTACAGGCATGCACCACCACACCTGGCTAATTTTTGTATTTTTAGTAGGGATGGGATTTCATCATGTTGGTAAGGCTGGTCTCGAACTCCTGACCTCGTGATCTGCCCACCTTGGCCTCCCAAAGTCCTGGGATTACAGGTGTGAGTCACTGCGCCCAGATGAATTTCCTTCCTAAAAAGGCTCAATAATATTCCTTTGAGTGTGTTTACCCATTCGTCCGTGGATGAACACTTGAGTTGCTTCTACCTTTTGGCTATTATGAATAATGCTGCAATGAAAATTGACATACAAATATCTGTTCCAGTACCTGTTTTCCATTCTCTTCAAAATACATATGTAGGAATGGAATTGCTGGGTCTGAAGGTAATTCAATATTCAAACTTTTCAGAAACTGTTTTGTAGAAAGTCTTTTCCACATGGGTTTCCACATGGGTTTCCACGGTGACTGCACCATTTCACATTCTCAGCAGCAAAGCACCTAGGGTTCCAGTTTCTCCGCATCCTCTCAACACATATTATTTTCTGTTTTTTCATAATAGCCGTCCTAAAGGGTGTGAGGTATGGTTTTGACCGACCTGGTCAACATGGTGAAACCTCATCTCTACTAAAAAAATACAAAAATTCGCTGGGCGTCATCATGGGTGTCTGTACTCCTCAGCTACTCGGGAGGCTGAGGCAGGAGAATCGCTTGAACCCGGGAGGCGGAGGTTGCAGGAAGCCAAGATCGTACCACTGCACTCCAGCCTGGGCGACAGAGTGAGACTCTATCTCAAAAAAAAAACAAAAGAAACAAAAACAAAAAGAAGGAAACATGTGGCCGGGCACAGTGGCTTATGCCTGTAATCCTAGCACTTTGGGAGGCTGAGGCAGGTGGATCGCCTGAGCTCAGGAGTTCAAGACGAGCCTGGACAATATGGCAAAACCCTGTCTCTACCAAAAATATCAGAGAAAAAATTAGCCGGACGTGGTGGCACACGCCTGTGGTCCTAGCTACTCTGGAGACTGAGGTGGGAGGATCACCTGAGCCTGGGAGGCGGAGGTTGCAGTGAGCCAAGATCGCGCCACTGCACTCCAGCCTGGGTGCCAGACTGAGACCCCGTGTCAAAAAAAAAAAGAAAAAAAGAAAAAGAAACATGCAGGAGCCAATAGACTGGAGGGCTCTCTGTTATGGTAGTGGGACCACCCTGACGAATACACCCCTGGAGGCAGCCAGCCACAAATCCCCACTCTCTTGCGCAGCCTGTCCTGATTGTATCCAAACCAGATACCACTCACTCATTTTTTTAACACACACTGAATAACACACATGTTTCAGTTCCACCTTCCTGAGGTTCTACCAAGGTCACTCAGTTCCCAATCTTTGGTTACACATTTTTACACAGTCTTGGTGGACTCCCATGATGGCAGCTGTGTTTGTTGTACTGACAAGCGCTTGAGGCCAACAGAAACTACATAATCCTTGGGTAACCTTGAGTGTGTCAATAGCCACCTTGTATCCAATTCCTTTTTTTGTTTGTTTTTTTTTTTTGAGACAGAGTCTGTGTTACTTGGCCAACATTGTGCCGGGGGACCGCGCATCCCAGGGACCAGGAGCCAGGACACCCTCAGCTCAGTCACATGTTTAATGGCCTCGCACTCCCAGACTGGAGTGCAGTGGTGTAATCATGGCTCACTGCAGCCATGACCTAGTGGGCTCAAGCGATCCTCCTCCCTCAGCTTTCTGAGTAGCTGGGACCAGAGACATGCATCACCACACCTGGCTAATTTTTAAATTTTTTTTGTAATGATGGAGTCTCACTATATTGGCCAGGCTGGTCTCAAATTCCTGGGCTCAAAGGATCCTCCCTCCTCAGCCTCCCAAAGTGCCAGGATTACAGAAGTGAGCCACCATGTCCAGCCCCAACTCTTTTCATCATGGTACGAATTCCTGCCCTGTCCACCCCCAAGAGCACTGTAGTGCTTCTGAGTATAGGGGCCTGTGAGCCTCCACTGGGGAGAGGGTTCCTGCAGAGATCAGATAAACTGATCACAACAGCTGGGGTGATAGCAATGTGCTAACTTTCTCTTTCTTCCACTGAAGATATCCTCTGTCTCCCTCAGCCTGTGAGCTTTTTCTCCAGTATGCTCTGCCAGTGGGGGCCCTGCCTGAGAGCCCCTGCAGCTGCAGAGGACAGTTTCTTTCTGCTGAACCATCGCAGCTATGCCCCAGCCCCTACCCTGAAGGAGTCCTCAGGGTCCATGGGCAGTACTTCCTGTATAGGGCTGTCTGGGAGCCACTCCAGGGGCACAGAAATCTTGTCTCTGACTCAGGGTATTTTGTTTTCTGTTTTATGTAAATGTTCTTCTGACTAACGCAAATCTTATGTCCATAGAACCAGAAGATTTTTCCAGAGGCAAAGGTAAGGAGGAGGTGAGAGTGTCCTAGGTCTGCCCTTCCAGGGGTTAAGAGCCTGGGTTAAGAGCCAGGCAGGAAGCTCTCAAGAGCATTGCTCAAGAGTAGAGGGGGCCCCAGAGGCCCCGGGAGGGGATGGGAGGGGAACACCAAGGCTGCCCCCAACCAGATGCCCCCCACCCTCCTCAGCTTCCCTCCCACGGCCTGGAGAGGTGAGACCAGGTATGGAGGCTTGAAAGCCCCTGGTTGGAGGAAGCCACAAGTCCAGCAACATGGGAGTCCGGGCAGGGAGCAAAGGAAGCAGGAACAGGCCATCAGCCAGGACAGGTGGTAAGGCAGGCAGGAGCGTCCCTGCTGGGAAAAGGTGGGATCAAGCACCTGAAGGGCTCTCCAGAGCAAAGACAAACACTGAGGTCGCTGCCACTCCCACAGAGCCCCTATGCCCCGCCCAGCTATAAGGGGCCATGCCCCAAGCAGGGTATCCAGGCTGCAGAGGTACCATGGCCAAGTCACACCTGCTGCAGTGGCTGCTGCTGCTGCTGCCCACGCTCTGTGGCCCAGGCACTGGTGAGTCTGCCCCAGCCTCCCCTGTCCTAGGCAGCTCCACCACTCACTGAGCACTGCTCTGTGCTAGGCATTATCCCAAGTCTGTCCTCATTTTAAAGACAAGGCAGCTGGGGCTCAGAGAGGGTTCAGAGCTTATCCAAGGTCACACAGCTGGTGGGTCCGGGAGCAGGTGGAACCCAGAGCTGTCTGACACCCACATGTTTAATGGCCTCGCACTCCCAGCAAAATTGGGTCTAGAGATTGGGTGAAATCAGGATGCCAGGTATGTAGCCTGGATCCTGACTAAGGTCTGGCCCCGAACCGCAGCTGCCTGGACCACCTCATCCTTGGCCTGTGCCCAGGGCCCTGAGTTCTGGTGCCAAAGCCTGGAGCAAGCATTGCAGTGCAGAGCCCTAGGGCACTGCTTACAAGAAGTCTGGGGACATGTGGGAGCTGTGAGTACCACCAAGGATGCACAACAACTGGGGATCTGAGATGAAGGGTGCTGGGTGGGCTCTGAATGGGCAGGAGGGGAGTGGAGCCCCCATAAGGGATGGTTGAGATGGAATGGGATGAGATGAAATGAGATAGGATGAAATGGAATGGGATGGATGTGATGGGATACGATGACATAGAATAGATGGAGTCGGATGAATGGGATGGGATGGGATGGGATGGGATGACAGAATAACAATGGATGGATTGGGATGGATGAATAGAAGAGATGGATGGGATGGGATGAATAAAATGGAATGGATGAGTTGGGACAAGATGGACTGGTGGGCAGCCGCTGGTGCCTTGGAGTGCTCTGTTGGCCTCTGCCTGAGAGAGCCTCCCCATTGGAGCTGGGAGCCTACCCCCCACTCATGTGTCCTCCACCTGGGGGCCCCCTCCCTCCCCAGGATGACCTATGCCAAGAGTGTGAGGACATCGTCCACATCCTTAACAAGATGGCCAAGGAGGCCATTTTCCAGGTAATGTGGCCCAGATCCTGGATGAAGGTTGGGGCCCAAGAGATGAGGGACAGAGCAGGGAAGAGGTGAGCCCCCTAAAGGGGCCATTTCCAGGCTGAGGAGGAGGCCTGGGTGCCTGAGAACTCCCAGCTCCTCCTGGCTGGGAGTAGGTCCTGGCCCTCAGCTCAACAGCACAGCCAGAGATGGTCCTTCCTGAGGGGAAGGGCCCCTACATGTGCCCAACTACTTAACTCCATGAAACTCTTGAACTCCAGTGCCCTGGGGGAATAGGGGTAGGTCTGCCCTGGTGGGGCCTTGTGTCCAGGGACTTGGGTGCCATAGACCTCAGAGAGGCCCAGCTGACAGCCCGCTCTGGCCTCCCAGGACACGATGCGGAAGTTTCTGGAGCAGGAGTGCAACGTCCTCCCCTTGAAGCTGTTCATGCCCCAGTGCAACCAAGTGCTCGACGACTACTTCCCCCTGGTCATCGACTACTTCCAGAACCAGATTGTGAGGGCTGCAAGCTCACCTCCTGCCTGCCTCCCCACACAGGCCCCTGTGCCCACCCATGGGGAGTTATACACATAGCACCCCAGCCGGGTGGACACACACACACAGCACCCCATCCAGACACATACACACACACAGCACCCCAGCCAGCCAGACACATACACACACACAGCACACACACAGCACCCCAGCTGGTCACACACACACACACCACACACACACTCTGCCCACAAAGGGCCCAGGAAACTAAGTGCCCTTCAGCCATGCACCCGACCACAGCCTCCCAGGTTCAGGTTCATAGGTGGGCTTGCACGCTCACACACCCTTACACTCTCACTCTCACACACATGCTTACACACTTACTCATGCTCACATATATGCTCATGCTCATTCACATGCAATCCCGGCCACCTCCCTTAAAGTCCCCACACAGCCCCATCTTTGCCTTTTGTCCCCCCACATAGAGTTCTAAAGCACAGCACCCCCACTAGGCCTGTTTCCTCCCATTCCAGTGGTCCTGGTCCCTGAGCCCTTGGGCCAGCATGAACAGGGGTGGGCTTCCCTCCCATAGCCTAACACTCCCACCCTGTGCTGTGCCCCAGGGCTCAAAGGGCATCTGTATGCACCTGGGCCTGTGCAAATCCCGGCAGCCAGAGCCAGAGCAGGAGTCAGGGATGTCAGACCCGCTGCCCGAACCTCTGTGGGACCCTCTGCCGGACAAGCTGGTCCTCCCCGTGCTGCCCGGGGCCCTCCAGGTGAGGCCTGGGCCTCACACACAGGTGAGGGAGGCCCCCACAGCCAGTTAAGTGGGGATCCGGAGGGCTAGAGCCACCTCTGAAGCCCATGAGCACTGGGCCCTGGAAGAGGCAGAGCCGGGAAGGTGACGGGAAGCTCCAGGCAGGGCCTAAGGGAGGAGGGAGAGAAAGGGAGGGGAGGAGAGCCAGGAGGACTCTTCTCCCAGCACCCAGCCTGGCCTCCACCGGATTCTCTCCCCAGGATCTCTCTGAGCAGCAATTCCCCATTCCTCTCCCCTACTGCTGGCTCTGCAAGGCTCTGATCAAGCGGATCCAAGCCATGATTCCCAAGGTGAGGCATCCAAGGCCACACAGAGCCCAGGAGGGTCCCCTACAGCTCCCACCTCCCTCCCAACTCACACCCCCATCAGGGCCCAGCTGGCTGCCAGAAGTTAGGAGGGGAGAGAACCGTTTGTGCATTGCCCCCACCCAGGGACCCTGGGGCTCAGGCTCAGGCCTGGTAGGTACCAGGCCTACAGTTCATGCAACAAACATTAAGCCCCCCCTGTATGGAGGTGCCACACCAGGTGCCAAAGTACAAAAATGGACAAGATGCAGCTTTGTCCTCCAGCAGCTCACCAACTAATGGAGAAGGATCCCCAGAGGTCCCTGTAGAAAAGTTGCTTTGATCTTTCAAGAGGGAAATTTCCACAGATAGATTCCCCATCCCTGCCTGAGTCCACTTTGGAGTCTTCCAGACCCGCAGTAGCTGTTGTCCAATGGCCCCACCAGCCCAGGGCTACCTTGCCCCAAAATGGGGCCCAAATGAGGAAAGGCCCTCCCCTCTCAGCCTTTCCCAGATGGGGTCGCATGGGCCACTGCGGACTCAAGGCAGCAGGTGAGGTTCCTGCTGAGGCAAGTGGTTCATGTGAGCCCAGGAGACCAGCTCGAGCAACATGGCAAAACCCCATCTCTACTAAAAATACAAAAATTAGCCAGATGTGGTGGCAGGTGCCTGTAGTTCCAGCTACTCGGGAGGCTGAGGCAGGAGAATCACTTGAACCCAGGGGGCAGAAGTTGCAGTGAGCCAAGATTGCACCACTGCACTCCAGCCTGGGTGACAGAGCAAGACTCTGTCTCAAAAAAAAAGAAAAAAGAAAAAAGGAAAAAAGAAAGATCACTGCAGAGATCACAGTGAGAGGTGACGGGACAGGGACGGAGCTGAGGGCTGGTCTGGGGACGCATTTGGGAGGCGGGCCCGCTGCACTTGGGCATGGATGCTGGAGTGTGAGGACCAGGGAGGACTCCACAGTGACTTTTACAGACTGGCCAGAGCAACCAACCCTCTGTAATACCAGCAGCTGAGATGGGGAGACTCAACAAGAAACGGGTTTGAGTAGGAAAAAAGAGCTCCCTCCTGGCCATGTTGAGTTCAAGATGCCTGTGTAAAGTGCAGGAGAGGAGAGTCAGGCAAGCAGCTGAATCTCAAGCCTGGGGGAAAGTCAGGTCCAGCATATCAGTCTGAGAGTCACTAGCTGTGGGCCACAGCCTTTGGGACCAGACATAGGTCTGAAGCTGGCTCCTACACTCAGCAACCCTGTGTGAGTCCCCTGCATCCCTTGGACTCTCTGATCCCCAGTGTCCTTATTTGTGAATAGCCTTGCCCTCCCTTCTAGAAGAGAATGAGGGAATGTGTAGGAAGTGCCTAGCTGGGTGCTGGGCAGACAGTGGAGGCTTGCCAAGTGAAGACCCCATGCTGGCTTCTCTCCGCCCCCACCCCAGGGTGTGCTAGCTGTGGCAGTGGCCCAGGTGTGCCGTGTGGTACCCCTGGTGGCGGGTGGCATCTGCCAGTGCCTGGCTGAACGCTACTCTGTCATCCTGCTCGACATGCTGCTGGGCCGCATGCTGCCCCAGCTGGTCTGCGGCCTCGTCCTCCGGTGCTCCATGGATGACAGCGCTGGTCCAGGTGAACCCACTGCCCCCTCCTTAGCCCAAAGCCTGCTCTCCTCCTCCCCCTACTCTGCCCCTGCATGATGCTCTCCCTCTCTGGTCCCGCTGCAATGCACCAAGGACAGAAACCGAATGCCTCTTCAGGGTGGCCTTGCCTGCTTTCCCCCTAACGCTCACGTCTCTGGGGTCGCCCACAGGAGAATGGCTGCCGCAAGACTCTGAGTGCCGCCTCTGCATGTCTGTGACCACCCAGGCCAGGAACAGCAGCGAGCAGGCCATACCACAGGCACTGCTCCAGGCCTGTGTCAGCTCTTGGCTGGACAGGGAAAAGGTACAGGGCAGGCACATGGGGACTTGTGGTCAGCGCCTGTTCAAGGTGGAAGCCTGAGCCCAGGAAAGGCTTTGCAGCCAGAGACACATAGGATGGGCGAGAATGGAGTGCAGACAGGCAGGCAGGATGTAGGGCAGACAATGGTGGGACTGTAAGTTAGGGCAGAGCCTGTTAAGGGTTAGGAGTCGCCTCTGGACAAAGGGCTGTGGGCTCCAGAGACCAGCAGGCCCCCTTCAGGGGCTGAGTGAGCACCAGGCAAGCCTTCAGAGGCCTGGTTATCTACTAGGAAATGAGTAATGCCAGGGCCAGCTCGAGCCAGGAAAGGGACTGGCCTTCTCTCCAGGGTCCTGATCCCATTACTGCTCCCACACTCCTCAAGGTTTAACTCACTCAGGACAAACCCATCTGCAAAAGGAGAGGGTTGGGCTTGAAGGTCCTAGGGCCCCTGCCAATACTCAGTCAATGACAGGAAATCCCCTGCTTTTTTTTTTTTTTGAGACGGAGTTTTGTTCTTGTTGCCCAGGCTGGAGTGCAGTGGCGCAATCTTGGCTCACTGCAACCTCTGCCTCTGAGTTCAAGAGATTCTCTTGCCTCAGCCTCTCAAGTAGCTGGGATCACAGGCACGTGCTATCATGCTCGGCTAATTTTTGTATTTTTGGTAGAGACAAGGTTTCACCTTATTGGTCAGGCTGCTCTCAAACTCTTGACCTCAAGTGATCTGCCCGCCTTGGCCTCCCAAAGTGCTGGGTTTACAGGCGTGAGCCACTGCACCCAGACAGGAAATTCCCTTCTTAAAGCAAGATCCTGTCCTCAGGCAAGCCAGTTGATGCTCTTCCTAGGAGACAGCTGTCCACACTGTGCTCCCTGCTCAGCAACTCCCAAGCCTCCCCGCTGCCCATCACGTCTGGTATCAAGGACCAGATGAAAATTAAGGTTCCTTCTAGAACTGAAATGGAGGTGGAGGGAGGGGAGGGTGGTGGCTGAGATTCCACCCCTCTGCCTCAGTCCTCCGTCTCCAGCATCGCCTGCTTTTCTGATGGAAGTCCTCCATTTCAGCCAGCTCCAGTTTGTTAAGGGTTTTAACTGCAGCCAGAGCTGTTCAGTGAGGGCTGATGGAGGAGTCAGAAGGGAGCCCTAAAGTGATCCAGAGAAGTGGAGAGGCCAGGACCACACGACAGGAGAGTCCTGCAAAGGGCCCGGGTCCCCTCCACAGCTATGTGTCTCCTTCCTCAGTGCAAGCAATTTGTGGCTCAGCACACGCCCCAGCTGCTGACCCTGGTGTCCAGGGACTGGGATGCCCACACCACCTGCCAGGTACATCCACCCCTCCCAGTTGGTCCTAGGACTTCCCTCGGCTCCCAGAACCCCCACCCTTTGGGCCCGTGATCCTCAGAGGCCCCACTCCCCTGGGTCCAAGGTGGTCCCAGGTGCATAGGCCAGAGACTGGGAGGCACCCCTCACTGTTTCCATGTAGAAAATCATGACAGTATGGAAAAGGGGGATGGGAAGGGAGGGACGGCCTGAGGAGTGCGGCTGGATGTCCACTATGGGATGGGGCTGTGTTCCCTGGCCAGTGTGTGCTGGTGGGGTAGGGGTACAAAGTAGATGTTCTGGAGTTAAAATCTCACCTCCTCAGGCTCTAAACCCTAAGGTCTGTGGCT